GAAGCTGGCTTCTCTGTTTTGAAAATAATGTTGTCTGTTCACTTGCATAGTGCCCTGTGCAGAGAGAAGGCCAGACTTTGGCATGGGGTCTGAAGCCTTCCTTGACTATCTTTCCATGGCTTGTAAGGCACAGTTGAAAATCCCAGCTGAAGCACCTGGGTGGGGAACAGTGGAGGGGAGCTCAGGGCAGCCTTTGGCAGCCAAGCTAAGAGCTTTGAGTTATCTGGGGAGTAGTCCCAAGAATTAATGTTGTTGTCATAGTTTCAGTTTAATTGTTATCAGCTGGACAGGATGAGTCCTCCTCGTCATATTAATGTTTTTGCTAAGATTGTTGGCTGATCATCTTTTCCATGATTTTTTGACAGTTATTTTTGTTCAATTTTGAATAATAAAGTGAGGTTTACAATCTGTTTATGAGAGCATTTGCTTTATCTTGACATTTCTTTTCTAGACGGCAAAGGTTTTTATAATTAGATTTTCCCCCTGCCAAAAAGTTGCTGGGAAAAAAAAAATTCTCTGAAGAAGACATGCTTTAGAGTTCTCTTTATTAGCTAGAGTCATCTTATTTTGATTTGAAAGTCTTTTCATAAGTCAGTCAGGAAATGAAACAAAACTTTATCATAAAAACAAATACTTAGCAAGAAAAAAATTAACTGGCTAAATACAAAATTAGGAGGAAGAAAAAAAGAAATGTGTTTGATATAGTAGTGGTTCCACTGTCTTAAAAATCTTAATCTATGTCAAATAGGCAACTTCTTTTCTACCTAGATTCCAATGAGCTTATTGGAGTCTTGTTGTTTTGATTAGTCTTATGTTAAGTTCCCTGACATACCCAGAAGACTATACTAGTGCTGACAAATGGTATAGTCCAGACAGAATTCACCAACTTAGGCCTTTAGTGGCTAACTTCTCATTTATTTAGCCATCTAAAGTCCTAAGTTGGTGGGTTTCATTTCTATGCTGATGAGGAGCAACTGGTGGCTAAGTGCCACCTGCAGAGGAGGCGGATCCAAGGAAGGATTGAATTGCTTGCTTCCCCACCCACAACTGTAGCTGGCTCTATGACTGGGGAGTCCGTTGGCAAGTGAGTCAGTTGACTGTGTTTTCCCTGTGGAGTGCTCTTGAAAAAAATGATTGAGGAAGCCAGATTGATAACTGATATTAGAATTGTTTATCATTGCTAATGGCAAAACCATCACTGTCAATTAATGGCAGAAACAGTCTCTACCTAGCACCTTCCCCTCCTGATGTGTGAATATATCTCTAGCTCCTACCAGTAAGGAGAGTAGCCAAATGATCTTTACAGCGCAGAGCACTTTCCTCTCTGACTCCTATCCAAAGTGCTGTTCTCTAGACCTGAATCAGATTCCAGACTCAGTATCACGATCTACACTATCTCTACTATCACCATCTGGAATCTTTCATTGGGTACTAACAGATATATGGAACTAAAGAGCACAAGGCCTGGGGCTGGGAAGGTGGCTCAGTGGTAGAGCACTTGCCTTGCATGCTCAAGACCCTGGGTTCGATTTCTCAGCACCACATAAGCAAAAAGAAAAAAGCCAGAAGTGGCGCTGTGCACTGTGGCTCAAGTGGTAGAGTACTAGCCTTGAGCTGAAGAGCTGAGGGACAGTGCCCAGGCCCAGGTTCACAAAAAGAACACAAGGCAAAGACAACAGGCATCTTCTAAAACTTTGAGCCAAGATCATTGATAGAAAACAGTGAAACAAGAATTGTGCTCTCAGTCATTCTTAGAATGGGATAGTATGCAAATACCAACTTCTAGTTTTGAATAACATAAGTGGCAGCCTTTTGAAACTTTGCTTTAAATCTAACTGATAGTGGGGAACTTAATGTGAATTGGAACGTGTATTTTATAAACTCACTTGGATGAATGCTTGGACCTTGAGTTTTTGTCCAAGCAAAGATATGATGAGGTTTGAGGAAAGAGATTCATAAGATCTAGTATCAAATAGTTAAATTGATTGTCACTCAGTCATGTGTTTTGGTGTTACATTCATCTAACATAGCTTAAGACTTCACCACTCCCCTTTGTGAAGCATAGAGAAGAATGTAGGAAGAGTAGTCAACTGGATTGACCAGTTCCTGTAGCTTTCACAGGAAAGCAGGAAAGTGAGAGGTTTTGCTTGTTTGTTCATTTGTTTGTTTGTTTGGTGTGTATGTGTGTGTATAGTGTGTATGCACACACTTCACTGGGGACACTAGGGAGTAGCACTGTAAGGGCAGAGGCCTAGTTGGAATACTAGGTTTTCTACTTTACAAGTTGTTTGGCTTTTTCAAACTCCCCTCCCATTATTTTTTTGCTAGTCCGAGAGTTTGAACTTCAGATCTCATATTGCTTGGTTTGCTTGTGCTCAAGGAGTTCTGTTACTTGAGCCGTGCCTTCAGCTCAGCTCTTATACTGATTAACTGGAGATGAAATCTCCGGGGCTCTTCTGCCTGAGCTGGCTATGAATTGTCATCTCTGGATCTCAGCATTCTGAGTGGCTAGGATTATAGCATGAACCACTGGTGACCAGCTAAATCCTGTTTGGTTTTTTAATTTTATTTTGTTTTCAAACAACAAAGGGGTGATAAGACTATTTAGGTTGGAGGGAGGGGGTGACATTGTTCAAAAAGAAATATACTCATCACCTGACTTACTTAACTGTAACACCTCTGTACATCACCTTTACAATAAAAAAAAAAAAGACTAGGTGGCTGTAAATGCTAAGAACAGCAGCATCCACTACCATTTATTGAAGACTTAGGAGGTACCAGAGGCCGTGCCAAAAATGATCACAAATGGTATTGCTTAATTCTTACCCTAACATATGTAGTAGGAGTTATTATCTCCACATTAAATATGATATAATGGAGACAGAACACAATCTAATGAGTAGCTGCTCTAAGGTCTCAGTTCCAGCTCTGGATGACCCCAGATTTTGACTCATCTTGGGAAATCCAAGTAGTTCCTCACGTGGAGATGGTATTACCAAATATAACGTCGCTTTCTTTCTAGGTGCACCTCATACTATATACACAGTTTCACTTTCTGAAAAAAAGTCCACAAGTAATAATTCTGCATAGTGTGGTAAATTCTTGCTCCATGCTCAGTCCTACCCAGGACATCATTCATTCCTTTGTTCAACACATAGTACAGTAAAATATTTTGTGAGGGAGACATAGCATTATTCATGCTTGGTGGATTGATTATTATGAGACCGAGTCTCATTTTGTTTTCCAGGCTGGCCTAAACTTCGGGACTCAAGCAGTCTTCTTGCCCCAGCCTCTGGAGTAGGTGGGACTGAAGGCACATGCCACCAGTTCTGCTTGACTTAACTTTTGTTACAATACATTGTTATATCTGTTCTATTTTATTGTATTGTGGCTTGTTAATGAATTAAACTTTGTGCAAGGCATGTACCTATATGGAATAAAAAACATGGCATATATAGAGTTTAGTATAGTCTGAGGTTTTGGGTATCCACGGGAAAGGGGGAAGTAGAGGAGGGGTTGGATGTTGTACAAGGGTAAGAGAGGACTACTGTAGAACACGCTGCAGAGAACATGCAGAGCAGAGCAGGTCTGCTACAGTAGGTCTGCTATACTGCCCTCTTGTGGTTCATCTGGGTAACAGTGGCTTTTTAAAAAAATATCTAAGGAAAATATACATGCAAATAAGTTTATTTGAAACATATCTTCATTGTATGGATAGTCATATGATTTTACAACCTCCATATGCAAGATATATCAGTCTTTATTTTCTACAGTGCCAAAAAAATACCTCTGAGCCCTCACCTGCTAACAAGATACCTAACTCCAGTCAGTCATAACTTCTGCTATCTATACCACTGTCTTCCACCCCTCTGTTGTCTTTGAAGAGAAACTTCTTCCCTAGAACTTTACTTCAAGAAGGGAGGACTTTTTCCTCAAAATTACCTTTTCTACTCACCTACTCTGTTTTCAGAGATGTTTATAAATCACAAGAAAAAAATCTTTTAGCAGTCTTGAGCTTAAGACTGGAATTCAGGGGCTAGTTTAAAATGTTATACATCTTTTTCAGGAAGAATTTTTAAAAGCTTTCTGTCCTAACTCTCACAATTAAATCACTAAGTAAACTTTACCTGTAGTTTCCTTTGCATGGCCCACTAAGGCCCATGTAAGGCCCAGGGCATGTTCTCCTGTTCTATAGAGTTGTACACATGTGGATGGAGTGCTTGCCTAGCAGATGCATATGGGCTTGATCTCCAACACCACACACTGGAATATCTAAAGAGTTGCACATGTTCACTGGAGACTTGATTTCATGGTGCAGACATCTCTCCAAAGTACCACCTCTCCTTGTTCAGGAGGCCTATCCGTGGAGGATTAAAGGCGTTGGATTAGAGACACACCATGCTGGATCCTGGTTTTGTCTTTGTAACTGAGTACAGTGGAGAGTGAGAGAAGTGAAGCTGCTAGGGGAGAAAATAAGGCTGAGTTTTCATTTTCAGTATCCAAGCACCATCTAATAGGGGAGTACTTGGAAGCTCTGGTTTTCAGTGTATTTAAGAGTTTATCTAGAAACAATGGAACATTCTTCCTGCAATTGAGGTGGCTGTGCCATAGTAAACTACAACTATTTAAAAAGGTTGAGGCGATGGGGTGTTTTTATAGGAAAACGGAAGATCATTACATAAATTACTTTAAAACACTAACTTCTTAGCTCTAGGGCTTGCTATCAGGAATGGTAGCCCAGGGTTGAACAGATAGTTGATGGACAGACTTTCTTGTAGGAGTGTTCTTGTATAAGGTGTGGTGGCCTTTGTGTTAGATTGTAGTTCTGGCAGGTCTTTTGGGATGGATCTTGTCAGCTGGCATATGTGTATAAAATCTCCCCCTCCTTCATTCCCTCAGCTTCATTTATTATTATTTTGTTTGTTGGGGCTTGATACAAGTGATTCCATTTTGATTCTGACATCTTTAACATCCTCATACCAACACTTATTTTGTTTCAGACAATGGAGGGCAGACATTGGCAGGGGGCAATAACTGGCCCCTTCGAGGAAGAAAATGGACCCTGTGGGAAGGAGGTGTTCGAGGAGTGGGCTTTGTGGCAAGCCCTCTACTGAAACAGAAGGGCGTGAAGAACCGGGAGCTCATCCACATCTCTGACTGGCTGCCAACACTGGTGAATCTGGCCAGGGGACACATCAACGGCACCAAGCCTCTGGATGGGTTTGATATGTGGAAAACCATCAGGTACCTGCCTGCATATCTTGCTATTTCCCTTCTCAGACAGAAATTCCAAGTCAACTCAGCACTGAACTGAGTGAGAATAATTCAGCTACAAATACATGACTTTTTAAATGAAAATTTTAAAGAAATTTTAATATCTACTTTTATAGTCTTAAATTTAGAATCACAGTTCTGCATTTTACTTGAAGGACAAGATTGTCCTCAGTCTTGGCCTTCTAAGAAGGTCTTTAAAGCTGAGGTGCTTTGCTGGAGGAGGGAGAGAAGATTAGAGGTGTGGCTCAGCTGATAAAGGCTAAGCCAATGAGTGAAAAGGGCTTCAGGTACTGAGTTTAAGTGCCAAAGAAAAGAAAGGAAAAGAAAAGAATTAAGCTAAGGTATTATTATTTTCCTGCAAAGGGTCAGAGGACCTGCCCTCTTGTCTGCCCTGAAAATAACAAATCTTCATTGTGATCACCCAGCTCCCAACACAGGTCTATTCACTCATTTACGTGATTGTCTTAGACCCCATAGACAATTAAATTTCCAATCCATGGCACACATAGTCACAGAGTTGAGCACTCTGGATATTGTATAATTTAACAAATCCCCAACTGCTGAATGTATAGATGATCTCTAATCTTTTTGTATTATCATTTTCTATAATAATATGAAATGCATAATCTTTGATGTTTACAAAAATTAAGGTTTGATATGAGATTGTTTTAGGCAGAGGAACTTTCACAGCCATTAAAGAATAAACATTGAAATCTGAAGTGGCTATTTTGCTGCACATCACAAAACTGCTTTCCAGAAAGACTTCACCAGTGATTCTTATTCCATGATACATGAAGATGCTCATTTCTTCATAGCTTATTTTCGTGTGTGGCTATCCCTGGGTTTGAACTCAGGACATGGTTGCTGTCTCTGAGCTTTTTTGCTCATGGATAGCACTCTACTAGTCAAACCACAGCTCTACTTCTCACTTTTTGGTGGTAAACAGGAGGTATAAGTCTTACAGACTTTCCCACCCAGGTTTGCTTTGAATTGTGATCCTCAGATTTCAGCCTTCTGATTAGCTAGCATTATAATGCATTAGCCACTAGCACTGGGCTCCTTATGTAGCTTTAAAAAGCCCTTAGTAATATTATAGACAAATGGTCTTGTTTAAACTTGATTTAAAAAAATAATTGTAAATAGTTTTTTGTGTGTTTGTTTTGCTTTTGTGGTGTTGGGGATTTAATTCAGGGCCTTGTACCTGCTAGGAAGGTACAAAACTACTTGAGCCATACCTTCAGACTTTTTTCCTCTAGTTATTTTTCAGATGATTCTCATGTTTATGCTCAGGATCAGCCTCAGACCATGCATGATCCTCCTGTCTGTGGCCTTCCATGTATCTGGGATGACAGTTTTGTACCACCATGCCTAGCTTATTGATTGATATGGGGTTTTACTGAATTTTTGTCCAGACTGGCTTCAATCCATGACCCTCTCTATCTCTGCTTCCCAAGTAGCTTGGATTACAGGTGTGAGTAACTGGGTCTATGCTAAAAACCATTATTTAAAAACCAACATCTTCTTTTAATTAAAAAATTAACAGCTTCTCCAAATTTTTAATGTTGAAACAAAGTAATACTTGAACTCCAGCTTGTCACCAATATGACTTTAAAGAAGTGTGAGAATTAGGAATGGTGGTATTTGCCTGTATAATTCCAACATTTGGGAAATTGAGATAGAACAATTACAAGTTTGAGGTTAGCCTGAGCTATACAGTAAGACCCTATCTTTTAAAAAAGTAAAAAACTTTGAATGGTTCTGACATGACACCATACTTGATATCCAGTCCATCTTCATTTTTGCTTTGTTTTGGTGGTTAGTGTTATAAACTCTGGCTCTTATGAAAACACAGGTAGCTGGCAGAATCAGACCTGCCACACCCTGCTACAGGTGAGCTGTGCAAAGAAACAATCGAATTCATTTTCAGTAACTTCCTTCGTCCCCAGCTTACTGAGGTTATTGTGTTTGGCAACGTCTGTGTCATTGATATTTATCTATATTGCCAAAGTTTGGATATAAACCAATCCACATTTCAGTTTTAAGATTTTTTTAATCTTGATCAGCGGTAACCTTTAAGAGTTTAGGTTATGTTTGCCTTGCCTCCAGAGAAATTGGCAAAATGTCTGCTCCCACATATCTTCAGCATTAGAATATACCCCTAGTGAGCCAACTGACATGGAGCTGTAGCTTTGAGTTCTTGAGCAGCCTACTATATTGCTTTCAGGGCTATCACCAGAAAACAAAGGCAAGAATATTACTTGGCCACGTGTGATAAATTGTTGAGAGAAGTGAGCCTATCCTAAAAAGCATTGCTTTTCTTTTTTCCTTATTTTTTTTCTTTTTCTCTTCTTTCCTTTTCTATTGAAGAAAAAAACCAAATTCCTGTCCAAATTTTAATCAAGCATTTCAAGACTTAGTCTGTAGAAATTCAGCAAATTTCTAAGAAGTTAGTCCCATTTCTTGATGGAAGTATCCGGATCAGAAAAACATTTTTCTATCCCAGCCCCAATCAAGTCTCTGCCACTCACAGCATCAGTAGCAGGACATTGTGCACTTGGCCTGCCAGTGCAGAACTGAGCAGTCACATTGATGTCTGGGGCTTCCTTTCCAAAGGAGCGAAAACAAATGGACAGCCAAATATTAGCGGCACTGATCTGTGTCCAGAGAACAGGAACTTATTCCAGAAATGGAAATACCATTTTTAAGATGATGGTAGTTTAAAAAAAATTCAAAAGGGGCTCATGAAATTGGAATGCCATAATAGATGAAAGACAGTGTTGGTGGTGGTGAGAGCATCAGAGGTTTAACTGTTGCATAGTTGTCAATTCCTCTCAGACTTACTTCAGATTATTAAACTGTCAGGAGAAATATGAGAAGTCCTGGGTGGATCTGATGGGAACTCCTCATCTACTTCAGTTTTTCTTCTTTCTAAACCAAGACCAGATCTGATATTTCTAGGAGATGCAAGTTCTTCAAGCTCCTTCCAGTTCTTTATATTTTTTCTGCTTTTAAATGAATAAGTAGCTTGTATGCTGTTTCAAGACATTGCATAAACTGAGTTGACAATGTTTCTTTTTACTCGGTTTATTTTTTAATTAAGCTTAATATAAAACAAAAGCAAAGTTCCTTATCATTATGGTAGGAATGTGTGTGTGTGTGTGTGTGTGTGTGTGTGTGTGTTTTCCTGAATGTTCAGGAACTCTTCTGGGTGTCTCAATATAACAGTGGTGTGACAATCAAATGAAAATGTCTTCCCTTCTATAGTTCAGGTTCGAGCAGGAACATAAATCACTTTCACCTGCCTTCCACAGATACCCACTGAAACCCAATGAAACAAATGGTCTCTGAGTCAGAAGCTAAGAACTTCTGATCTTTATTCTTTATTCTAAGTGTTAACAAAACACCCAAGATTGATAGTTGACTAATACTTTCTTCTCAGTTAGTTATTGCATCAGTTTATGTTTTTAAGTTCTTATGGTACTATGATTGGCTTTTAGGTTTCATTTCATTACTTCGCTGTTGCAATTTCTGTCTTCCTACAATATGTTTAAATGCCTGTTAGAAATTGTTACCATCTCTGCTTCCTTATATTTCCTTTATAAAAATGTCTTGACAAGTCCCATTTTTATTTTTTTCTCTGATGAGCTCTAGAATTGTTTTTCTAAATTATAAGAACTTATCATATATCAGATTGAATATAATTAAGCCAATAAATTAATTTTAGAAGGTGTGAATTCTGAGCACCTTTTACATGTTCTTTCCTCAGGGATTACGTTCCTCATATGTGTGTGTACATATGCATACATATATATATGTGTGTGTTTATCCATATATCCTTTGATCAATATGCAAAAACATTTGGATAGGATCCCTGGCAAACCTCCAGGATTCTGTTTGTACAGCTTTCTCTTCTTTGGAACGCTCCTTGAGTTCCAGCTCCTTTGGTCTTCCTGGGCTCTCAGCTGTCTCCTCAATCCCAGGAATCCATGGCACTGTCAGTTTCCCTCCTGTATACCACAGCCTGAGAGGTCTTTCAAGGTAATAATCTGGAATCATATGACTTGCCTTTCTTCCCATCTTTGAAGGATTATTGTCCTTTACCTGTTTCATGTATTCTGTCTGTTTTTCTTTGGGTAAGTAAATCTTACTTGCCTATTTCTTTGTTTTGACTGAACTAGAAGTACTCAGGAAATATGTATTGTTATCTTTGATTTCTTAACTAATATTTTCCTGCCTATTTCCTGTTTTCAAGTGTTTGTTAATTCAATCAAGAATCAGAGACTCAAATTTTTAAAATAGAATACTGTAAATCTTTTAACTCTTCTTTTTAAAAAGAGCTTGATTTTTTGTAGTCAACCTCTTAATTATGTGTATGGAAGCACATTGAAAATGTTGAATTATCTCTAATGTTCCCAATATCCTTCTGGTCATATAATTTTTCCACTTTCCTGTTCTTAAAATTTAATTACTCTGAAGCCAGGCATTGGTTGCTCACACCTGTCATCTTACCTACTCAGTAGACTGAGATCTGAAGGTTGTGGTTCAAAGCCAGCCCAGGTACAAAGTACATGAGACTCTTATCTCCACTTAACTACTAGAAAACTGGAAGTGGCGTTGTGGTTCAAGATGGTAGAGCATTAGCTGTGAGCAAAAAAGCTTAAAAACAGTGCCTAGGACCTGATTTTAAGCCCCCACAACTGACCAAAAAATATTAATTACTCTTGATTAGTTATCTTTTTTTGTTGTTGTTGTTGGTCATGGGGCTTGAACTCTGGTCCTGGGCGCTGTCCCTCAGCTCTTCAGCTCAAGGTGAGCATTCTACCACTTGAGCCACAGTGCCACTTCCAGCCTTTTCTGCTTATGTGGTGCTGAGGAATAGAACCCAGGGCCTTATGCATGCAAAGCAAGCGCTCTACCACTGAGCCACCTTCCCAAACCCTCTTGATTAGCTGTTTAATAATTTCAATAGA